CAATATTCCGAGAACCGCCGGTTCCGGTTCCAGACAATTAGGGCGGGTACCCGCTTATGCTCATCCCTGTTGGTCATGCAAACTTTCTTAGAGATTAGATATTTTGTACATCTTGCATGTCTTCAATAACATGTCCACTCTATGTTTTTCTTACTATAAAGGCGACGATAAGGCTGGAGGGAGTGGCTCGCTAGCCACGCTCGCCTCCAGCTCGCTAAGAGTGTTAAGTCCACTCCTTACAAAAGTGTTAAGCATCTCACTATAAGAAAGTCGCCAACCTGCTAGCGGTAGGAAAGAGAAAAAAGTTGGAAGATGAAGGCCTCTGATTGATTTCTTTTTTTTTTTTTTCCTTTTTTTTCAAAATAAAAATAACATAAGATTAGGGTGTTACCACTCCCTACATTTTTGCTATCACTCTCTTAATCCTACATGGCTCAAAAAAATTCTTATGTGGCCTTAAAAAATCCTATGTGGCAACATGTTAAAGATGTTACCACTCCCTCCGGCCTAAGACTTGGTTGTTTATGTCCATGAAAACCAGTACGAACATGGTTCCCAACTGCCTATTATGATTGGTGGTCGCAAGCAGTTTGAAAACCACTACGAACATGGTTCCCAACTATCTATTATGATTAACGGTTGCAAGCATTTTGAATCTTCAAATTATTGGACCATCAATCAAGACACTCAAATAAAATGAATTTGCAAACTAGATGTGTTCTTGAATAAGTGTGCTATTCCACTAGCTTATGAACATGAAAAGGTTTAGTACTTTCATCTATTGTTCCCCTGATTCTCCATTTACGATCTCTAGCACAACATACAACTTTATGCCTATTTTTCGTAGATTTTATGGTTTCAATTTGAAATATATCTTCAATACATTTTATTCCTAATCATAGTTTAATATATTCTTTATGCTTGAACACTTGAAATAGTTTAATGTGTGTTGTAGTGTTGGGGTAGATTTGTAAACAGTTTATGGTAATGGTATTGGATGAGTCATTCCTTAGAAATAAGTTTTTGGTTTATCATCAGATTAATAAAATTCATAATTATCATTAATAGAATAATTGTGATTAGAATGATCCTTACCGGGGTAAGCTATACCTTCATAATTTTCCAACGGCTCCTCCATGTGGACATAGGTTTGAATCATCAATCAACACCAACAAATTTTGATAACTATTTGTTGATTCATAATGTATATTCCGAAATGTGAAGTCCAAAATTTTGGAGTGAAGAGTATGAAGCGTTACACTTAGTAATATGTCAGATAAATAACATTTGTTCATACATAATATCTAGAATGTTAGATTTCAAATTTACTTGTCACGTTTCAAAACATTCATAGACTTGTCACATTATATAGTTCATACTCTCATTCGTTGTACGATAATAACTAAGATTAATAGTAACTTTCAGCTAAGTTTTTACATTATTTACATGTTAGGATTTACGCGTAATCACTGCTAGCTCAACGATCCAGAGACTTGTCACATTATATAGTCTATACTATCATTCGTTGTACGATGATAACTAAGCTTAACAGTAACTTCCAGCTAAGTGTTTACATTATTTACATGTTAGGATTTACGTGTAATTACTGCTAGCTCAACGATACAGAGACTCCCTTCGGCCAAGAGACTAGGGTTCCATTTTTTTGTAGGCATAATTTTCTTTTTATACACACATGTCAAAAAAAGCCCTGAAGCAGCCATGTTCCAAATCTGGAATAAACTGGATCCGACCAAGTTCCAGAACCAATTATAGTCCCTTGACTTTTCTCGTTGACAAATATAGAACCAATTTATTTTTACGAATTTTGTTTACTTCATTTACAATTTTAGCATAATTTAAATATTTCTATGAATTTGGTCATATGTTTTGTAGCTTACTAATTTTTCCCAACTTATTTTTATAAGTTTGTCTTTATAAAAACTTACACTTTTAGAATTTTTTTTTGTAAAACTTCGTATAAATCTTTTATTTATTTATTTATTATTTTTTTTGTTACAAATTCATCCATTTTTTTACAAAATTTCATAATTTCTTTGTACAACTAAGTTATGTTTTTTAAGACTAAATTGCAAAAAAGGTGCCCATAATTCGTTGAAAATTACTACTTTGGTTCAAAAAGTTTTAGACTAACATTACTGGATCGAAATATGTTTTTTGTTGTAGTTTTAGTCTTGAAAATTTTGAAAAAAAAAATAATCACTATTCTGCCTTTCTTTTATGTTTTTTTTTAACTTTTTTATTACAGAAATTGAAAAAAAAAAATACAATTCTCACTCCTCACTCTTTATTATGTAGTACCTATCTTTCACCTAATTTTCACATAGAGAAAATACCACCACCACTATCACTACCGAGCGGAGATATGAACGCCACCATAGCCGCCGATCAATGCCATCACCTACGGATGGAAGATGTGAATGCCACCACCGTTGTTGAACCTCCTGGAAAACTCTCGATTTTTGATGAAGAAGGAATCTAGAACTATAGCTCTGGTGGTGTTGAAAACCAGATATGTAGTTCCGATGAAGGTGGCGCTAAAAACCCTTGAGTTTTTTATGCCTCAAGCGACAAAAAAAGGTATGATCGACTAGGGTCTTCTGGAGGTGGTAGGTGGATAACGGTTTTCGACAACGGGTGGATTAGGGTTTCCTGATCTAGAAATAGAATGATCTATGGTGGTATGATCGTTGGTGGCGACAGTGTTGTAAACTGATCTTACCGGAGAAGACGAATTGAGAATGGGGTGGCTTTGTAAACTGATCCTCCAGCCACCTCTGTTAATGTCATCCGACCGCCTTTGTCAACGTCAACTTACAACAGCTCTAAAGCCCTTGCTGCATCCGACAAGCATGGTGATGGCTCCGGTGGTCATAGCGGCAAAAGAGAGAGGTGCGATTATAGTAGCATAAGAGAAAGAAAGATGGTAGCGTTGACAGTAGTCGGACGAACAGGTATCCAATGGTGATTCGATAAGAAGGGTTGCACTGATGGCAAATCAATTTTCTGTGGACTATGAACAATTTTTCAGTGGAATGTGAAGGAGAGAAAGATGGACTTCGTAAAAGAAGGATGTGGGTGGGTTATTAAAGGTAGGTTTACACGGTATTCGTTTCCATTTTAATCGATAAAAATCATAACCGTTAGTATTTTAAAACCTAAATAAGAAATTAGTTTTCTTATTTAAGACAATTAAGTTTAATAACCTAAAAAACAATTTTTATATTATTTATTGTTATTTTAAGTAATTTTCCTTGTTTCTTTTTCACCATTGGTTATTGGTGATCATTTTTCATTTTTACATATTGATTCTCGTTCATATAGAATTGTAGAACATATAGATTTTTTCACATGTTCATCTTCATAGATCAAAAATATATTATTATATACATAAAATTTCCTCAACAATTGATGTGTATCACCAAATTATATATAGTTAACATTTTTCCATATAATACATATATTATTTTTTAAGTCCGTTTTTGCTCATCACGTGATTGTTGGTAATTTTAGTGTCACTATATCATTTTATGTAACTGGAACTAACATGTGAGCTAAGGGGCTTCATAATTTGTACTCTAATATATATATATATATATATATATATATATATATATATATATATAAGAGTTTTTGTGGAGTGCACACATGTATAAGATCGAATTAAAAGTCGGTTCGACGACAAGTCGGGGGTCCGGGGGCAACTCCCCTGGGTTCGGGGTTTCGAAAGGGGCAGCACCCCTTTGGCGAGGTTTAGGGGCAGCACCCCTTTGGCGAGGTTTAGGGGCAGCCCCCCTAGCGGGGTCCAAGGGGCAGAACCCCTGGCTGGGGTCCCACTAATGAAACCCTAATCTCGTTTGCTTCCAAAGCAACTTATGACGGCCCAACCCTAATGAAACCCTAATCTCGTTTATTATATAAATGACTCTTCCTTTTGAGTAGAGAGATACGAAAATTAGCTCTCGTTTTTCTTCAAACACTCACAGAATTCTTCTAGCAATTTGGCTTACGATTTTTGTGCCTAGAATCGTAAGTGTCCTCTTGGAGTATCCTATGCTGAATTTCTTTTAACCCATGCATAGGATAGAAATTTCATTTTTTTTTCGCAAATCCAATTTTATTAATATCTTTTTAGAACTACAGAATTTTATTAAAAAACTAGCAAAAAAACTAAACAAAAAAACAATTACATGGAGGAAATAGACAAAATAGGATCATGTAACCACGCAACCCAATTGATATAAGTTTTACGATACCTACTATTAGCCCAAATAAAACTTTGGGAGACCACCTTATCAAACAACAAACACTTGTTTGACTTGACTTTACCAAAAACCAAAAATTTTTGAAAACACCTAATAGACTACCACAAAGTGTAGAAAATCGTCTCCAAAAACTCCTTACAAACCTTAGAGATGCACAAAGAATCAAACTAGTTAATACAATCAAGGAAAGAAAGGAAAAATGGCATTGATAAATTCCACCGACGATAAAGGAGATGCAATAAATCGAGCGCCAAGTCACTTCATAGGAAAAGATGGCCAACACTCTCCACCTCCTTCTCACAAATAGAGCATAAAATCGAATTAATCTTCATACCTTTGTAAGAAAGATTAAACCTAGTAGGAATCTTATTCAACATAAGACGCCACACAAAAACATTTGTTTTTATGGGAATGAGACGACACCATCTCGTGACAAAAGTAGAGCCAAGAAGAAGAATTTTATCAATTTTTGATCTAGCCGACCCCACTGGAAAACTGCATGTGCCATCAAGAGACTGACACCATCTGTCAGGAGAAGAACAAAGCAAAATTGAAGAAATTAAAGAGCAAAAATCGACCTACTGCTCCTCCTCAACACCTCTGTAACGTCCCAAAAAATGGTAGTAAAATTTTCATTTTTAAATTATTAAATTCATACAAACATTTTTTTCCAAAACCAATAAGAGTAAAATGTATATTTTTAAACATCAGAGTAAGCATTAATAATTAGTGCGAAAAAGCCATCAGGGGATGTTGTGCATTCAAGCCGAGCCCTTCTCCCTGGAACTGGAAGTACCTGAAAAATATTTTGTGACATCCCCAATTTCACAGCCATAAAAGACCGATTTGTTTATGCTTATTTAAAAACCAGAGTATCATTTTTGAAGAATAATATTGCGGAATTTGTTACCAGAAAACATGATAATGATATTATCAAATCAATTCCAAAGAAATGTATTTTATTTATATTAAAACATTGAGATGTAATCGTCAATTCAGAAACATAAGCATAACGAATTATTACAAGCCTTACAGTAATTAAACTAGTGACCTAATACTCCTTGAATCTCTCAGCAGTTTTGTATCTTTCATATAGCCACCTGTGATACAATAAACTGAGTGAGCCAGGTTGAGAAACATGGTGAGTACATAGAGATTTCAATCTCACGATGTGATAATAATGTATATCTCAAACCTGCAAAACCAACTATTATCATTAACACTAATATATCATATCTCTATAACAATTTATCCCATTCCCTTGATTCCCACTTACTGATTCTATACAACGATCTTAAAAGATCTAGCCTAGAGGATTAATATGAACAACAAACTGACGACGCTGCTTCGGAAATTCCCTGGCAGCAAAGGAGGATCAATAAATACATCAAATGAGGGGAATGGAATAAGTTTCACCACGAACCTCCGTTCGTAAAAACAACAAGACAAATAAGTCAAGGGTGGTTATCTAGATAATTGTGCCTAGCAGTGGTCTGATACCGTGAGGTATTTTACCCCCAGACTCACCCTATCCGACAATATAACATCAGACATACCTAGTAGCGCTCTATTACTGACACACTTTATTATGCAGACTACGAATTTCCCTCAATTACTTCGTGAAAGGAAACGCTGACACACAAAGCTCGTCAAAAGAAAAGGTATGGGGAAATACTAATAAAGTACTCCCGTACGCTCCCGTACTCCGACACATAATAGTGTCAAAAAGGACTTCGTACATGATAGTACTTCTGGCACATTATAGTACCCTGGTATGAGTAGGACTCGTACCCCAGAACATAATAATACCCCGACACAAGTAGCACCTGAGATACAGAGCTTTGAAAAAGACATGGTACATAGAAAGTACTTTTGTACGTAGGACATACTCCATCAATCATCAATCTTCTCGAACATAGTTTCTACTCTGTATTCCGATCACACGCATACCCTTAATAAGATGCTACCCAATATCCAAACTTAATTGAACTAAGCATCTCTTTTAAGTCTTATTTTATCACTAGGCAAGCCTACTATGCTTATAATCATCATTCATTACCAACTCTGTTCCGGCAACACTATCCTAATTTAGTGTAATATTTTGTACATAGTATTAAGTATTAAGATATATTTATCTTCTCATTTATAATACTTCTATTATTATTATTATTATTATTATCATGTAAATACATCTCAACACATATAGAACCATGTATGGTTCGCATAGCATATATCATCAAATATACATATAACACATATTTCAAGATAATAAGCATATAACTCACATATAAACTTTCAACGTATATTTAATACTTTTATTAATACTTGTATTAAAATCATGTTCATGAAATGGACTATGCACTCACTTGTTAAAGTGACGACTCGAAATTCGGGCAGCGCTTCGCTTCTAACAATTGTCTTTTCTGTTGACGAAACCTAGTATTATTATCACTAAGTTTTAGTTTATTATTTATTGCGACTAATTATTAGTCTAGATTCATCATTAACTCAAAGTCTACTTTCATGATCTATCACGTAAGGAACAACCAGGTAGAATCATATCGGAGGTAGTGTCCGTTTGATATACGAAGTATACTGTTTGGAAATCCCACTTTAAACACCTCACTAAATCACAGGCTAGACATCATCCCCGTAAGTAGATCAATCAGTATAACGACTTTGAATCACTGATAAATTTTGTTTAAAGGTTCATAATAACGATAATGAACTTAAACATAAGTTATACTTAAAGTAGGGTAAGCATGACTCACTTACAAGGGAGTTTAGCGAGGAACCGGGCTTTGCGCGGACAGAACTTCTTAGCTGAAAGTTCTTCTTCTCAGGGCTTTCCGGTGCTCCGGGACTCACTACTAACACCTAGGAGGTGCTAGGGAAAAGCTTAGAGGGTTTGGAGGTGTTTGAAAGAGAAATGGGTGAAGAGGTGTGGAGAAATTAGGGAAAAACGCCACTTATCTATAGGCTGGAAATCTCACGAACGTGGGGCATTCGCTGCCATGTGTTTCCATCTCATTCCAAGCCGTGGGGAAGAAGGTGCGGCCCAGATCGCACCACGTGTCACTCTCTGGTACTCCAAAAACTAATTATCTTCTAAAATCCGTAACTTTCGCATACGAGCTCCGTTTTTGACGTTATTTATATCCACGCGTAGGTATCGACATGATCTACAACTCTCATTTAGACTTTGTCGGCTAATTTT